AGGTCGAAACCCTCACCCCTAAACCTGAACCCTGAACCCCAAACCCTAAACCCTGAACCCGAAGCCCTAAACCCTGAACCCTAAAACCCCAAACCCTAATTCTTGACTCCTAGACCTCTTTTTGTATATGGGGCTCAACCTAAAGAGTTGAAGTTGCGACCTGGTCGGTTGCCAGACATGGAAGAGTCTGCATACAGGAAATTAATGTTTAAAGGGGTTTAGGGTTTAGGGTTGAGGGCTTAGAGTTTAGGGTAAGCACCCCCTAATACTAAACCTCCCCCATCCGCCCTTAACATTAGATATTCCCCATGTTATTATCATATACCACAGTGGGAAAATCTCATATCAGTGTGAATGGTGGGTTTTAACGCTAGGGGTGCCAGTAATTAAGGTTTCGCATCTGGGGGTGACCTACGCTGTGGGGTAGTACAGGCTGGTAGGGGAACCCGTGCTTCAAACGTTTTAAATGGAGATCCCAGTTGAGGGTTTGGGGTTGGGGTTTAGGGTTTGGGGTTTAGTGTTTAGGGTTTAGGGCTTGGGGTTTAGGGTTTGGGTTTGGGGTTTGGGGTTCAGGGCTAGGCCTATGATTCTACTCATTGTACACGCCTGTAGGACTGTTGCCCAAGCTGACAAGACTCATGCTCAACTGGATCTCCAGCTCGACCCCTAATCATACAAGAAAACAAAACCGTAGACCCCAAGCCCTCAAGCCTGACTGCTAAAACTCTAGACCCTAAAGCTCTAAACCCTCCCATATCCCAATAAACTGCCAGTTTCAAATTTAATGTTTTCTTTCATTTGCTTCCGCATTTTCCCACCTGAACTCATCCCAACATCGCACCTGTACAACCCTACACAATCTCCTGTAGCCCCCGTTACTAAGAACCTTTCACGCCAAATCCAAAAGCCAAGGTCCCAAAAGCCTAGACCCTAAACCCTTATGTTACCCTGTGTAACCCCTATGTATTCCGCATAACCTCCTTACTAAGAACCCAAAGCCCGCCAAAAGGGGGGCGCACTTGGGCTTGACACCCTCAAGCCTAAACCCTAAACCCCCACCCTAAACCCTAACCCCTAAACCCTGAACCCTAAACCCTGATGAACCCTAAACCCTAAATCCTTGAGCCCTAAACCCAAAACCCTAAACCCTAAACCCCAAAAACCCTAAATCCTAAACCCCTAAACCCCTAAACCCTCAAAAGGGGGACAGGGGTTACTTGAGCTGTAGTCTAAACCCCGCAAAGGGGGTTATATGGGGGGTTATATATGGGACTACTATAAGGGTTACTAAGGGGGATACTAGGAGTTTAGACAATGGGTCATATAAACCCTAAACCCTAAACCCCTAAACCTATAAGGGTTACTTAGGTTTGACAAGTTTAGACAATGGGTCACTTAGGTTTGACAAGGCTGTAGAGCGCAGTGCAGGGTCCCTGGCCGACTTCCAGCTCCTCCCAACTTTGGGGTTTAGCGGTTTAGGGTTTAGGGTTGGGGGTGGAGGGGTTTAGAGTTTTGGGTTTTGGGGTTTAGGAATAAAGGGTTTAGGATTTTGGGGTTTAGGGTTTAGGGGTTTAGGGTTTTGGGTTTAGGGTTTAGGGGTTTAGGGTTTAGGATTTTGGGTCTAGGGAAGTAGGGTTTAGGGTTTTGGGTTTTGGGTTTAGGGCTTTGGGGTTTAGGGTTCTGGGGGTTTAGGGTTTAGGGGTTTTGGGTTTAGGGGTTTAGGGTTTTGGGTTGCGGGTGTAGGGGTTTAGGGTTTAGGGGTTTAGGGTTAAGGGTTTAGGGTTTGGGGTATTAAGGAGCAACCTTAAAAGGGGGCTTACTAGGGTTCTACAAGGCTATATTAGGTGGATGGAGGAAATCTGTTAGCACCTACGATCCTCCAACTAATGTGATTATGGGGGTATAGGGCCAGGTTTATGAGGTGCTACCAGATTTCCTCCATCTACAGTATGGGAAGAAACAGGGTTTAGAATTCAATTAAGGCTAGGTTTTAAGGGTTAATATAGGAATCTATGGAAACCCTGAAATGTTCCTGAGGTGTTTTTGAGGCACTCTATACTACAGCCCTACAGGACATCTAGCACCGTAATATTGGTAATCATCCCTATATCGTAAACCCTAAATCCTAAACCCTAAACCCTAAAACCCCAAGACAGGCCAAGCTTTCATGTTCATTATCCATTTCTGTTCCAGTTCATTCTCCATTCCTCCTATATGAGCCAGAGTCTAAACTCCTAGCACCCCCTTAATAACCCCAAAAATACTCCCCAGAGAATCCCCTACATAATCCCCCTTTAGGAGTTTAGACCCTAAACCCTAAATACCTCCCTTATATAGCCCTCTTGCAGGAGTTCAGAATGTGGTTCCTACGTACTGCGCGGGGGCTCAGGTTTTATTGAGGTCAGTCAAGGGGTGAACGAAGTCGGGCAGCTTTTGGAACCCTAAACCCTAAGCCCTAAACCCTAAATCCTAAACCCTAAAAATTTCGGGTTTAGGGTTTCGGGTTTAGGGTAAATACTAACCTAAATCCTAAACCCTAAATCCTAAACCCTAAATGCTAAACCCCAGAGCTTAAAACCTAAACTCTGAATTCTAAACCTTAAACCCTAAATGCTGAACCGTAAACCCTACATGCTAAATCCTAAACCCGAAGCCCTAAATCCCAAACCGCGCCGGTGTTCGGGTCTTAGAGCCCAGGGTATCGCCCGAATTGAGCTTAAGGGGTTTGGCGAATGTCCGTAAAAGGCTCAATGTTGCAGCTACCCTAGAGCCTCAATGCGGTTTGGGGTTAAGGGTTTAGGGTTCCTCAAAACCTTTACCCCTAGACCTGGAGGTCCTTGAAGTGGATTTTCGCTTCGCGCACCACATATCCCTCCGCACCGGTACATAGGTCCAGCTTCAGCCCAACGCAATCGATCTTGGCTTAGGGATTTTGGATTTCTTTGGTTTCGGGCCAAGGTTCAACCCTTAGTAGTACTTTCCATTTTATTTTCCATTATCCCAATATAACCCCAATATAGCCCCAAACCCTAAACTCGAAGGAGACAAGAAGTCCAGCATAAGGGAGAAAAGCCAGGTAGCGGTGTCGAGCCAATCCTGGAACTTTGCTGTTACGGCCTGGCCACTGGTCTTAAAAGGGGGTTTAAGGTTTAGGGTTTAGGATTTAGGGTTTAGGGTTTAGGATTTAGGGTTTAGGGTTTAGGATTTAGGGTTTAGGGCGAAAGGATTTAGGGTTTAGGGTTTAGGGTTCGGCGTTTAGGGTTTAGGGGTCAAGGTTTAGGGCTTCGGGCTTATGTAAGGTTTAGGCTTAGGGTTACACAGGGTTTCAATATGGTTCTTTAGGGATTGTCTACGGAAATATGTGGCGTATACAGGGAGGTATAAGGTTAAGGATTTGAAGTTTGGATGTTGCTCGAAGAGTCCTTTGAAAGAGCGGAACCATTGGGGATACACTTCCTGACAGGAAGCTTAGGATAAAGTCCATGCCCTCAACCCTAAACCCTAAACCCTGCATACCCCTATATACCCCGATATACCCCTGCATACCCCTATAACACCTATATCATAACCAAGAAGGGAGCCTACCTCTCAACCATATTGGGAGACAACTACCTGTTGGGAAGTTTAAAGTTCATAGGGCTCAAGAGCTTACATCTAGGTTGGTTATTTACAGGGCTTGGATTTCGATAGCTAATGATTTTAATGTATATACAGTACAACCCAGACCCCAAACCCTAAACAGTCTAAACCCTAAAGCCTAATCTGTAAATAGCTGATCACAGGGGCCTGCCAGGCCAATGAAGCAGCGTCGGCTGCCCAAACGCTGCGTAGTCTAGAACTCAGGCCTGGGTTTAGGGTTTAGGGTTTGGGGTTTAGGGTTTAGGGCTTTGGGTTTGGGGTTTAGGGCTTAGGGTTTAGGGCTTAGGGTTCAGGGTTTAGGGTTTAGGAGGTCTTTGGGGCATAGGGCTTGAGGGTTTTGGATTGATGCCGAGAGGTAGATATTCCCAGGATCATCTACTATGGTTGTACAAGGTACCTAATTACCACCAGGATATCATGGCTATATTCAAATCTTTCTGGCTCCTATAATCCCTCAACCCTAAACCCTAAACCCTAGGCTGTGGGTGTTTTACGGTGTAAAGTTCGACGGTTTTGCGATGCAGGGTCTCGGCTTTAGGCCTGGGGCTTTGGGTTTTAGGTTTGCGTTTTTAGGTTTGGGTTTTGGGTTTAGGGGTAGGGTTAGGGGTGTAGGGCTTGCCAAGCGCTATCCAAACTTCCTCTGCAAAATCTTAGTCAGCAGGTGCTTGCAGAATGTGGCGTGGCCCCTTACGTCGTGTTTTATCCTCTGCTGTGCCGAAGATTGACCAGAATATGGGTGGCTGTCAAAATTATAGTCCTTTTGGGGTACCCTAAATATTAGGTGCCGTATTATAATAGGGACCCAAAGAGGGACCATAGTTTTGACAACCACCCATATGTGGGAATGAGAACTTTTCCCTACCTATACAGGCGAGGGTAACTTGCAAGCGTGGACTTAGCAGAAGGTATTTGGTAGCTTTCCCGAATAGAGGGACCCCAAAAAGACTGTAATCATTACATTGGTGACCATCTTATTCCTATGTCCCGGGCTACAGATGGCGTGCTGTGGCGGGCTGCACACAGGCAACCAACGACATTAGAGGCCTGCTTGCCCTGTTACATTGCCATTCGGGCACCCGAGATGAAACCATTAGGGTTTAGTGTGTAGCGTTTGGTGTTCAGGATTCGGGGTGTGAGGTTTAGGGTTTAGGGTGTAGGGTTTTAAGTTTAGGGGCCATACAAAAATGCGCACAACACTGTGGCTATCGCGTACTTGGTAGTTTCCTAAAATAGGGGAGCCCCAAAATAGACCGCAAGTACTATAATCCTAAAATTACAGGGGGGGGGGCCCAATTAGCTAAGCTCGCCACCGGCCGTGGTTGCACGCAGCCGGAGAATTCTGAAATTCAATTCAAAAAGTCAAAAAGTCAAAAAGTTTCACTTTTCGCAAAAAGATGCACTTTTCGACTTTTCGGGCAACAATTCAAAAAGTCGCACTTTTCGCAAAAAGTTGCG